GTGAAACATCCAGTAATTAGGCTCTAATACGGACAACCAAAGACTAACACAATAAACTCACAATAGGATTAAACCCATTAAAGCTCCATATATCATGTAAATTCTGATCGAAAATCGGAAAATTTTTCTCGCGTTGGCCATGATCTGATAGTGTACGAACTCGCCGTACAGCTTGAAACAGGAATAAAGGGAAATACTTCACAAATTTGGACCACTACCCAAAAATACCTGTCTTCTCCTCAGCAACTCTTTCATCGGTCGAGCCTTCTTTGTTCAACTCCTCGCCAATCTGCCGACCTGAAATTCTCACACTCGTGTTAAAACGATCAAGAGAAACAGTTCACATGTTCATATCAATTTTCAAATATACATGTTTTCTCCACAGAATGTCCTTTATCGCTTGAGCTTTCTTTCTGCAAGTCCTTCTCTCCTGTGTGTTGTTCTGAAACTCCATCATTCAATTATTTCAACTTTGATTCAGTGTAGGTCTATAACTATTCAATACCTCTTTCTTTCACAAGCCCTTCATCAGCCGGACTTTCTTTCACAAGTCCCTCGTCAGCCGGACCTTTCTTCTGCGACTCTTTCTCTTCAGTCTGCCGATCTGAAATCCCATCTTCACTTAATTATTTAGCTACTTCTTGACACTTCAACTTCGAACGACATTCCTGAGGTCTCAAGAAGTGGTTCCTTCCAAAGAGAAGATTCAAATAGGCCTATCTTTTTGGCACATTGCTAGGGATGAGATGTGGACCCCTTCGGTCGACATCCCTGAAGGGTAGTTCTTATACTTCGCGTGAGGTCACCATGAAAGCTTATGACCCTTTTGAACTTTCCCTGTAAGTTGGAATAGTGTACGGACGAGTAGCGTCTTGAACTGTTCTCTTCCCAGGCTCTGAAGAAGGCGAGGACGCCGAAACGTTAGTCGATTGAAGGTAATTAACAGCTTTGGTGTCAAGCTGGACCAGGCTGCTGCAAAGTGCCCTATTCTTTTAGAGCAGGTAGCCAACCTCAGCCGCCACCTGACGCTTCGAACAACTCGAAAATGAGTTTGAGACAGTAATGGTAAAGACCGAAATGTATGTAACGTGTCTCATAACTCACACAATGGCATAGGCGGTAGAAGACCACCACTAATTGCATGCCTTCATTGGACGTATTCAGATTTGAACTTTACTCAGGAATGAAACAGCTATCACTCCGAAGTAACGATGGTTTCAAGTTGTGCATAACACATCGCCACTAGTGCCTCTACTTCCTCTATTATTGCCTGACTCTCGCCCTGTTGGTGAACAGTCTCTTCGCTTCTTGTCTTCTAGAAAATTTTTGAATACGTAAGCTCAGAATTCTGCCCGTTTCACCAACACAAAATTCGCCGCAGGTTGAGCAGTAGAGGTGGTATACTACTCTTTGTTCTGCACAAGTTCCAGTGCGTCATATTAGCAAGTCACTAACTCATTCGTGGTGCACCCACGATCATAAAGCCTATTGCAGATCAAAAGTTTCGTCTTCTCTTCTGGTATATTTATCCGGTTCAGTTCAAAATGGTGCGGTCGCACTCCTTAATGATTGCAACTTATTAATGATGCCCTGCACTTAGAA